CCTGATCGAGGACCGGGCCGCGGGGACACTAAAGCCCCGAAATCATCTTAAGATAACCTCAAGATAACCTCAAGGACAGGTACATGCCGTTCGTAGAGACAGAGAACTGGACACCCGCTCCACAGAGCACGTAAAAGAAATTTCGATTTTCTAGAACGGGTGACTTTAATATTCCTCACCAATTCGGCGTTCTGTAGGATCACACATATGTCCACCTGGTTCTCCGAACGCGAAAATTATTAGATTATATTTGTTAAGCTTGTTATTTATTATTATGATTCCGGGAATATGTAGAAAATTGTCGTTTCATAAACACTACTCGTGCTCTTATTGGGGATTTTTAATTCCTGTAAATTTGGCATATACAGATTTTTTCCATATATGTGTTTATTGTAAATATATCTGGTTTTAATTAGTTTACTTCTTTTAGTGATAATAATCTAAAACTTTAATTAGTTTTCGTTGCATATTGCTTTTCTTTTCCCTTTTTGGTAAGGTCTATATTTTTTTTTTTTTTTTTTTTGAGATATATACAAGAGTTGTTACATTCTTGTACAGCCACTAGTACGCGTAGCGTTTCGGGTAAGTCCCTGGAATACGATCCCCTGCCGCGAAGAATCGTTTTTTCATCCAAGTACACATTTTACTGTTGCGTTAAACAGAGGCTACAGTTAAGGAATTATGAATTAGTTAGGAATAGTATGAATGACAGTTGAGAGGCGGGACCAAAGAGCCAGAGCTCAACCCCCTCAAGCACAACTAGGTGAGTACACACACACACACACACACACATTCATAAACTTGAGTAAGTTAACATAGTACACAAGCATAGTATACAAGCTTGTAAATCGTATGAAGTATTTTGCAGTTATAGTTTACGCGTTAAAAAGAATATTTTTTCGTTTTCTGTATTAGTTAAGAAGGGTTCAACTTCTCATTTTCTTTATCATGGGCAGACTGGCATAGATCCCATCACCACCAGGGTACCGTTACCAAATGACTGCACATGACTTTGGTACCCTGGCACGTGCTTCCTTACCCTGTTATATACTCTCCTACCCTGCCACACACTCACAACCCTGCCACACACTCACAACCCTGTCACACACTTCACAACAGTGTTACACACTACACTCTTGAACGCAGGTTCGAATCTTCGTCACGGCCCTTGTGGATTTGTTAAACACTGACCATCTGTCAACCCGTCCTCAGGCCAGGCTCGTTAAAACAGCGGCTGGCCCTTGAGACTCATTTATTAATTTTAACACTGTTTAATAAAAGTGGATTTGTTCTCATTTATAAATTATTATTATATACACTAATATGTAATGCGAACAAGCCTGAATGGTCCCCAGGACAATATGCAACTGAAAACTCACACCCCAGAAGTGAGAGTTTTCAGTTACTAATATGTAATGTATAGTTAGGTTAGGTTAGGTTAGATGTTTAGGTTCTGTTGGCATTTATTTGCACTTGATGTACTTCAGTGAAGCATTTACAGCGATGGGATTCGAGTAGAGGTCGGCAGCAAAACACAGTTCGGACGTCATTAGGTGTGAGTTGTGGTAAGTATTTTTCTTTCATAAACAGGTGTTTTGGCGGCTGTATTAACGAGCCTTAGGCCCTTGGTGATGTGGACGGGGTGTATCAATACTCTGCTGCCTTGGGTTTGCATCGAGTGGAGCCGAACCAACGTTGGAGACTGAGACAATGCTTCATAATAGCTAACAAAGTCTGTAACATGGTAAATGCCGAACCCTTTATTTATATTCTAGTACTAAATGATTTTGGACGAACTAAAGGTTATTCTAAATGGTTCCTTGGTATCAATTTGTGAGATGAAATCCTTAAAAAATCAGTAAGAGAGAAGGATCTAAGGGTTTGATATCACACCGAACCTGTCCCCTGAAGCCCATATGAAAAGGATATCCTTAACGGCATGTCTTTGGTTGGCCATCATAAGAACTGCTTTTAGGAACTTGTGTATGGAATCGTTCAGGACCCTGTATACCACATGTATCAGACCAATCCTGGAGTATGCAGCTCCAGCATGGAGTCACTACTTATTCAAGCACAACACGTAGTTAGAAAAAATTCAGTGGTATGCAACCTGATTAGAACCCAAGCTGAGGGACATGAGCTACGAGGAATGGCTACTGCAATTAAATATCACGTCACTAATAGACAGAAGAGTTAGGGAGGACATGATTACAGCTACAAGATTCTCAATGGAATTGGCAGGGTTGACAATGAAAAATTATTTAGAATAATTTTCGAGTGGTTCATGATCAAAAAGAGAGGTTGAAACTTAGTGCCCAAATTAGCCAGACATTAGAAAGAGCTTTTTCAGTGTCAGAGCAGTTAACAAATGGAATGCATTAGGAGGCGATTTGGAGGACACTAACTGCATACATAGTTTTAAACGTAGAAACTGACGTAATATACACAAATTTCGCAAAAGCCTTCGATAAATGTGACTATGGTGGTATTGCGTACAAAATGCGTTCAAAAGGAATCACCGGAAATATGAGAGGATGGATCTAGAATTTCCTAACTAACAGAACCCAGTGTGTATTAGTCAACAAAGCAAAATCCGGACCATCAACCTTGAAGAGCTCAGTCCCTCAGGGTACTGTGCTTGCTCCAGTACGTTTTTTCGTTCTCATATCGGGCAAGGTCAAGGGTAAAAGTTAGAGTACTATATCATCCATTACAGATGCCACTAGTATTTTTAAGAGAGTAGATAACACAGAGGACATAGCAAATCTCCAAAACAGATGTAAATCAGGTCTTTCAATGGGGATACATATAATAATATGGTGTTGACCAGACCACACACTAGAAGGTGAAGGGGACGACGACGTTTCGGTCCGTCCTGGACCATTCTCAAGTCGATTGTGCAAAATTGACAATCGACTTGAGAATGGTCCAGGACGGACCGAAACGTCGTCGTCCCTTCACCTTCTAGTGTGTGGTCTGATCAACATAATTTAGCCACGTTATTGTGACTTATCGCCTGCATAATAATATGGTATTTAGTGAAAATAAGTTACAGCTCTTGCACTATGGAAACAATTTAACTATAAAAACGGAAACCCACGTACAAAACGAAGTCGAATCATACCGTAGAACGTAAACAATTTGGGTGTAGTCATAAGACCTTACGTTTAAAGAACACAAAAAAGTAGCCGTCACAACTGCAAGAAAAATGGCAGGTTGTATAACAAGAACCTTTTAAACAAGATATGCCGTACTAATGATGATGCTTTTCAAGACACTAGTGCTCTTTAGAGCGGAATACTGTTGCCCGATGACAGCCTCTTTCATCAAAGCTGGAGAAATTGCTGACCTGGAGAGCGTGCAGAGATCTTTTATTGCTAGAATCAACTCAATAATCCATCAAAACTACTGGGACCGACAAAAATGTCTAAATTTGTATTCTCTAGTCTAGAGCGCAGGCGGGAGAGATACATAATACTTTACATGTGGAAAATAGTAGAGGGGCTGGTCCCAAACCTGTACACATAAATAACATCACATGAGACCAGAAGGCATGGCAGGATGTACAGAATACCCCCCGTTGAAAAGCAGAGGTGCAACAGGTACTCTGAGAGAGAACTCTATCAACATCAGAGGCCCGAGACTGTTCAACACGCTTCCACTACACATAAGTAGTATAACTGGCCGACTCCTCACAGTGTTCAAGAGAGAACTTGATAAATACCCTCAAAGGACACCTGATCAACCAGGCTGTGATACATACGTCAGGCTGCGAGCAGCCGCGTCCAACAGCTTGGTTGACCTGACCATCAACCAGGAGACCTGGTCAGTGACTGGGCCGCTGGATCTTTGCTCCCGGAATCAATGCAAGGAAACCGCAAGGTAACCACCAGGTAACAATTAGGTAACCGCAAGGTAACCACCAGGTAACCATTAGGTAACCGCAAGGTAACCATTAGGTAACCGCAAGGTAAGGAAGATATGATGGAGCCCAATCTGCAGTGGAACCTGTACACAAGTTGATTGATTACTGATAGGAAGGACCAAAGAGCCCCGTAAACACAACTAGGTGATTACACACACACACACACACACACACACACACACACACACACACACACACACACACACACACACACACACACACACACACACACACACACACACACACACACACACACACACACACACTGTGTGTGTGTGTGAAAGATAAAGTGTTTCTAAATAAACTGTTTGAAACTAAAGATAAAACTGTTTAGCACGGGTGGTACGCGAACAAGGGGACACAGGTGGAAACTGAGTACCCAAATGAGCCACAGGGACGTTAGAAAGAACTTTTTCAGTGTCAGAGAAGTTAACAGATGGAATGCATTAGGCAGTGATGTGGTGGAGGCTGACTCCATACACAGTTTCAAATGTAGATATGATAGAGCCCAGTAGGCTCAGGAACCTGTACACCAGTTGATTG